ATAGAACCTGAGAAGACACCCTGCTGTAGCCTGGAGTTTGTCCTAGTCTGACAGCAACCCACTGCTACTGCTATTGGTCAGTGTCTGCGTTATTACTGATCACAAGATGTTTCCTCTCTCCTACAATGCTTTGATATGAAATCATTTTAAAAGGGGTTCCATTCTTCTATTGCAGCAAATAGGTACCCCCCATGAGCTTTAATGTCACCCTTTAGAAAAATCTGTCCCCAAAGTAAAAGATGATCTTTTCCCTTGCACCCAATTTCTTTGAAGGACATATATGCTGCTTTCTCTCTCCCTTTCCCAAGCATTAAAGCATACTTTTTAAAGCAGCACATTGAAAGGATAAATGATTGTGCACTGTAACAATTTAAATCTGAAAACCAACTAGAAAGATAACGTTGGATTTGAAGTGGTGTAAGGTGTGAACAGTGATCAAAATCAAACAGAAAGCTGCCCATAAAGTTGTCTTCATCAAGCTAAATGTTTAGAGGGGCAGGGAGAGGAAAAAGATGTTTCATGCCATGATCTTGAGGACTTTTTGCATCCTTCTGTTTGGATAGATCCACAGATTTAGGCAGTGGAAGTGTTAGGGCACACGGCAGAGATGGTATCATTGGCCTTCTGAGAGATGAAATCAATGATGACTTCATTGTTAACAGAAAACCCACTGGTCCTTTAAAAACCAGAGAGCAGAAGAAAAACATTGTCCTTCTATTAACTATACTGGAAATTAATTTTATATGATGGATTAGGTAAATGGAAGCCAAATGGTATAACATTACCTATAAAGCAGTTTCCCCCCCAGATCATCTTCCTACAGCTAAGAAAGTCTCAGCATCATGGGCTGAACTCTTTTTTCTTCTCCTTTTTCAATTTAAAAAAATCCAGCCTGGTAAAGAGTTTTGGAACACTCAAAAGCTTGCACACAGTTTTATATCATTCTGGGTTTAAATGATATTTTACAGAATTTATTTTATTTATTTACTTTATACCCCTCCCATTCTGCCCATTGAGGACCCAAGAGGTAAGTGTACCGTTCTCTTCTCCTACATTTTATCCACACAATAACCCTGTGAAGTACGTTAAGTGGAGTGTGTGACTGGCCCAAGGTCACACAGTAAACTTCTATGGCAGAGTGACCCAGACTCACATTGCCTCTCCAGTAGTATTATATGACTTTTCTTTTTGGACCAACATGACTTCTTGGAACTTCTCAAAAAGAGCAATTAATTTAGATTAAAGGAGGTAAAAAAATCTCTTCAAGATGCTTGGAAGTTATTTAATATCAGTAAGAGTTCAGATAGAATATATACCTCAAACTAGGAAATGCATCACAGAATCTAAGAAAATTGGCATCACGGTCAGCAAGCAAAGTCAATGAAGCTGTGAAACACAAAAATAGCTCCCTTTATAAGTGAAAGCCTTCCCCTGATAGTATGAACAAGGAGTGCATGTTCTGGCAATACAAGTGTAACTGACAATAAGGTGAACAAAAATAATTTTAGCATATTGATAAAAGACCCTGTTGAAACAAAGCTAAGAATATTGTCATATATTAGAAGTAGGAAATTGCCATCCACAAGCTCCACTGTCTCTCTGGCCAAAGGAGCGAAGGGATTGCTAAAAGAAGAAAGATTGTAGAGAAGCTAATTCTTCTCTTCACTGTGGAACATGTGGGGTAGTGAGCCATCCCAGAAGTGCTATTTTCAGGCGGAGGAGGAGTTCTCCCAGATCAGAGTCTGTGCTCCTAACCACTACACCAAACTGGCTCTGCTTAAAACGTACAGAGAAGGGATGAGAGATGATGTTCTGGGGTTAAAGGACAAATTAAACTAATAAGTCACAGTCTAGATTGCACATACCTGAGGTTTCTTAAGAAAGTCAAATATGAAATTGTTAATCTCCTAAAAATAACATGCAATATCATTAAAATCTCCCTTTCAGATATCTGAAAAATAGCAAATGTAATGCTGATTTTTTAGATAGGAATCAAGGAGAGATCTGGAAAATTACAGATCACTTTGCCTGATGTTTGTTCTGTATAAACTGGGAGGAGCCATGATTAAAAATAGAATTATTACACACAAGTCCTATTAAGACAGAATCAGCACAGCTTTTACAAAGGGAAGTACTGCTTCACCGATCTTTAGGGGTTCAAGAGCATTCATAACCAAGTGTCTAAGGGTGAGATTCTAGATGTTGTATACTTGGACTTCCAAAACAGTTTTGACAGTCACCAAAGGTTCCTGTATAAGCAGGCATGGAATAGTCTAGATCTATGTTAACACAAGAAGAGTTTGAAAATTTCAGCATATCAGATTCATGCTACAAGTTTAACAGAATTACAAAAATATTTCTAAAGCAAACAAATCAAGTTGTCTATTACAGTTTGTATAAACTGTTCTTAAAACATGTCAGAATGTGACCAAGTAAAAGGCTTCTTAAAAACCCAATAAAACATGTAAGGAAACCAGATGATTATAATAATTCACTTTATTACATTTACTTAAATTATATATCTGGGGCATGCACAATAAAATTGCCACAATTAATCATTACTGCATTACAGTGAGTAATTATTTGAAACCTGACTTTAATAAAAAGTATTTAACACCTTGACAGCCCAATTTAAACTGAGCATTCTTCACTCATCTAGTTCTATGATATTCCACATTAAATTTACATCCAAAAGTTGGCACAAATGGCAACCTTTGCCTGAGAGGTCATGTATGAAGAATATCCCAGCATTCATTAAAACATCTTATTAGTGAGGAAGAAAAACTGTATTACATCTTGATAATCTTCTGTTTGATCAGTTGAAAAAGTCTTCAGAAGTCGATAAAAATATCACCGCTAAAACCCTATATAGTAATCATATTCATTTTATATCAAGCCTGCATCAGAGTCATTTCATAAAATCAAACTTAGATTAAAAGACATCCATTTTTTATAAATAGGAAATTATTCCCTATAGTTTTATTAACTACTAGATTGTAGATTATAGAAAGTGGGAAAAGATACAACTCATAATCTCAACAAACCCTCACACATTACAGGTGATAGTTTTAAAAGTATAAACAGCAAATAATCATAGCAGCAGTTTTCATTATTTTGATAAGATTATA